ACGAACTTGACCTTATTGTCCGCATACCACTTCAGCGCGTCCTTGGAGTAGTGGCATGAGGCCAAATCCGGCCAGAAGATTGTTGGGACGTTGTGGGCCTTCAGGAGAGGAAGCAGCCCCTTCTGGAGGCACTCTTTTATGTACACCTGTCCGTTCATCGTGTCCTGGGTCACGAAAGGTGCACTCCGCTTCCCGCACGTGCAGATGGCTTGCCAAACCAGGAATTTCTTTGCAAATTTGGACATCTGCTGAGTGCGGATATGCCCCGGAAAGCTGAACTTATCCTTGGCCGTGAAGAACAGGTTGCCTGGGAACTGTTTGAAGTCGGCCTTCACATATGTTTCGTCGTCCATGATGCAGCATTCAACTTTCGTCAGCATGTTGAGGTACAACTTCCTGGCACGGGTTTTGGCGGACTTGTTCTGCTTCTCGTCGCGATTAGGGGCCTTTTGTACCTTGAACGTTCGAAGCCCAGCCTTAGTTTTGGCCTTCTGGACAAAACTTCGGCTTAGGTGCAGCTTCTTAGCCACATCCCTAACGGAGGCGTTCGGATTTCGGTTGAAGGCCCCAACTACGCGGTTGTGATTTTTGGTGTTATACGGAATACTTTTTCCTTCACTTCTGGGCTTCCGATCGGTGGTCAACCGTTCCTCGAACCGCTTAATCACTCGCGACACCGTGGAATTCGCGATTCCCAACGTTTTAGCGATGGAACGATGCGAGAGATCCTTGTTCTCGTGATGAATGCGCAAGATTTTATCACGCACGAGCTGTTCTTTCGACTCCATTTCCGCGAGTTTTGATCACAGGACTTTAAAACTTGCAGGATGTAAATAATGCACTATGAACTAAATCCACCCAAATTTTCATTAAATTCTACCCAACGGTTAAAAAGTTAGAGCAATTTCATAGTGTGGCAATTTCATCGTGGACACCCTTTAGTGCATGTCCATGGCCGAAATGTCGGGCAGATTAAATCGTTGTCGTTAGAATAAGATTAAGACTTAGAAAGCCGTTAAACTAAGCAAATCACTCAAGTACTAGTGGTCACCATCACTAATATAGTAATTAATCAACTCAAACTATATTTTTCATTCATATCCTTTATGAGTTTCATACGAAATGACAAATGAAATTGTTCGTAATATCCAATGATACACACTTAAAAATACCTAATTTTACACGTGACGGAATCCATCTTTGACATAAAGGATGAGACGTAAACAAACATGTTATGTAAAATTAAATGCTCCGAGACTGAAAAGTTCGTTACTCGACGAAAAGTACGTTTGATTGAGCTGAATTTCGTGTCTAGTATAACTCAATTTAATGTCAAAATTGACGCTCGTATATGTCAGTCTCAGAGCACCTAAATTTACATGAATTTTTCTAAGTGTGTAGCTATCGTTCGTTTATATTGAGATTCATACTTATATGCATGAAAAATCATACGATGGCTGATTAACAAAAAACTGACAGTTCTTCATAGTTCGGTCGTATGAATTTCAACATAAAATCTAGTCGCAAAAAATCATACGATATTTCTATAAAATTCGTTTGATTACTAATCTCAGTGTAGATGAATGTGAAACGTCATTTCAAATCTAAGGACCGTACATAAATAATTATACAATTTGAAAGGGACCGGGGCTAATCACAAATTACGTACCCACGGTAACTGAAATAAACACGAGTGTTCACCGGTTGCTATTAGTTTTATTTTACTTATATTACAATATGCATTATATTCACTTATTTTAAATTGGGTAAGCAAATTTATATTAATTATCACTAGCAATAAGTTGGAATTCTATCAAATTTAAATGAATACATTTGGCACATTCTCCTTCATTACGGTTTTTTATTTTGGTCTGTCCCTGTCTGTCTGTCTGTCTGGCGTTTTGTCCCAGTGACGCACATATAGTGGGGTACGTTAAAGCGGACAATGTAATAAGATCTTAAGGTACGTACCATCGCTACAGTTGGATGTGTGGTGCGGCGCAACAAGTTGTTACGACAATTGGGCTCTATTTAGTTGGGTTGTAGCGCACCTAAATCGAAGTCAAACGTCATTTATGAACTAAATTGGCTATGGGTTCAGCCCATAACGAGTGAAAGTTGAATGTACTAAAGTCCCACAGAACGCTATTGATTATTTTTTGAAATTAGTCAATTGGTTCCCGAGATATGGTTAATCACTGGAAATAACCCAGGTTGCTTGGTTATTCATTTGTATGCCTCTTTTCGCACCTACTCGACAACGGTCTCGTGGTTTCACAAAATCGCTATTTCAAATTCTGAAAAGTGACAAGTTTCAATGTAAGTATTTCGGTATAGGGTCACGTGGGGGCGATCTGGTTTCTTCATCATACTATTGAATTTTCTTGTACTTTCAATTGCTCAAAGAATGGCCTGCTCGTTCTTGTCCGTTTAGAAGTTATTGGAAGTTGGGTAATTTTCAACTAAAAAAAATGTAAATAACTTTTCAAATATTAATGATAGCAATCTGCAGTCTTCTGAAAAGATATGTAATTTGATATTTCTAACAGCTTTGTGCAACATGCCAAACATGTAGAAATATTGTAGAAATTGTTACAGATACAAAATTGATTTTAACGATGTCCCCACAAAAAAAAACTTTTATATCTCAGCAGCTATAAGAGCTAGAAAGTTATAGTCTTGCGCAAAGTTGTTTACAGTAATGTTCTCTACAGCTTCGCCGTACCTAATTATTGTGTATCTCATTATACTAAAAGCTAAATTTTGCATCTCACTTTTAGGTGGATTAATTTTTAATTTTCTTTTACCATAAGAAGGAGTGTTGTAACCCGAGAAACTTCTCAGAAAACACCTTGTACCTTTAACAACAATTTCAGCGTAAGTGGTGGCACGAGTCCTGGAGTTTAACATTTTTTCCTAAACATTTGATACTTTTTGCGATAACCATTGTGACGACACACAAAGCAAACTGGCAAGCGGCAAAAATGTCATGACATTTCTAAACTGTTTTCTGCCAGCGACAGAACATTTTCGCACAAAGAAGCAGACAAGACCGGCGGCGCGCGCGACATAAATTTATGTCGTGTAGAATTTTGCTGATTTCTGGCTAATTACTGCATTTATTTGATGTTTATTGCATGGAATTAAAAGATAAGAATGAAGACTGACCACTCATAAGCATTGATGTTAAAATTATGCGTAAATAAGGGAGTTGGTAATTTACTGTCACACGCAAGCCTGCAGCTAAAATTTCATTACAATAAACTGTTTGGAAAAATCAGGCTGCGAGATTTTATTTATTCTCTATCTCCGCTGTTCGCTTGGAATGTAGTTATAAACGGCCGCCCGTGTGCTGGCTGTTTTGTTTCGCTCTGGACGATGGTTTTTCAAAAAATGTACTGTTGCCACCTCTGCTTGGCACCACTGTGCGGTGGTGTAGTGGTAAGCGTGACTGTTTTCTCATCCCAATGGGTCTGGGTTCAATCCCAACCGAGGTCGGTGGGATTTTTCTGAGGCATAAAAATCTCTGGTCACGTCTTCCTTCGGAAGGGAAGTAAAGCCGTTGGTCCCGGCGCATGTGTGTTGAATGGGTGTGATATCCTACGCAGGTGTGGAAGCTGCCTTCCTGCACATTCGATTGCCATCAATGGATGGCAATCGATGTCCGTCGGTGACTGGCACTAGATTGCGGAACAGAGACCGATGTTAAATAAAAGAAAGAAGAAAAAGAAGAATTTCGACTAGAATGAGGTACACTTATACATAGATGTACTTGGGATCAATAGATAAAAATAGCTTTAATTTGCCAATAGTTTCATCGAAATCGGATAAGAATCGGATTTTTACAGCTAAAACAGAACATGTGTCACCTCTATGGGAGGGTTAAACTATTAATGCTTGTCAATATTTTAAAACATAAGAGGCATTCCATTAAGCTAGGTCACTGAAAATACAGTTTAATTAATTTTATAATCTCCTGACATTATTAATACACTAGAGATATTTGTGATCTCTATATAATTTGGAAGACCCAGTGAAATGTTTCGATTTGTTCAACCACAGATTTATTACCAGAATAGAAGACACACAACCCCGTGCTTCATCATCATCTGCTCAATAGGCACTAAAAGGCAGTCTACCGTTCGTTACCATCTTTCTTTCCTTTATTTTACGCCGGTCTCTGTTCCGTCCGCAATCACCGACGGACATCGATTGCCATCCATTGACGGCAATCAAATTTGCAGGAGGAAGGCAGCTTCCACACACCTGCGTAGGATATCGCACCCATTCAACAGACATGGGCCGGGACCAACGGCTTTACTTCCCTTCGAAGGAAGACGTGACTAGAGATTTTTGTGTCTGGGATTGAACCCAGACCCATTGGGGTGAGAACGCGGTCATGCTTACCACTACACCACCGGCGCCGGCCTTCGTTACCATCCATCGCTGAAGATTAACGAGAGCATCCCATGCAGAACCGCACTGCATAAGTTAGTTTAGTAAGCCATAATGCTCAGCTTTCAGTCCTTCGAGAGAAGACCGTAGTTAGCATGTCTCGCATATGACTTCATTCCTACTAAGGCTCCGGGTGTTCTGCTAGTGCTCGGAAAAAGGATGCATCCGATGAACGAATGAGCAAAATCGTGCGAATGGAAAATCTCTCTCTCCCAAAGAGCCTCCTTCGACGAACAGATCCACAACCGAGCGGGAGCAGCACCTTCTACTATGCGGCGCATGCCTACCTTGCTACTACTATGTAGGTATGTGGGCCCGTGTGGACGAAATCGAACCGTTCGCGCTGCCATGCTGCCGAAAGAGATTAGCGAAAATATCCACCAAGCATTGTGTGTCTCGTTCAGGTTCGAAAAGTAATACCATACACCCAATAAAGACGGTCGATGGAGTCGCCCAAGGAATCAGTAAAAATTTGCTGCCCGCCGAGGAAGCACACGAATTTCGAATATCGCGCGCGCGTGTTCGCTCACCGTTTCGCGTTGGTGCCTTTAGTTAGTTTGAGTGCATACCCTACCGGAAATCGGGAACCGGAACACTCTGCTGGGTGGGTGATTTGGAAGGTGGTTAGATTTTTTTATTTTTTCAAATTACTCCGGGAAAGTTCAGTGCTTGGTGATAGTTGGAATTGAAACATTGATTGGATCTAGAATTCGCGCTATGTATTTTGATTTATGGAGTTATTAATTGCAAAAACATGTTTCCATCGGCATCGGGGCCGCAGTTTGGGGCAAAGTTGGGCGATGTGCAAAATTCTTATTATTGTTATGGGTGGCGATAAAAATGAATTTAAAGTGGATATAGTGTTTCCGACGACCGGTGCGGCGCGGTGTTGTGGTCGTGGACGGCTTGCGTCTAATGCAAATTAGATGGGTTTCGAATCGAAGACGACGGGTTCTGGATCGAAATTGGCCGGCTGGACAGAATTGGTCTCTCGAGTGCTGTGTGAGCTACGCGTATGGTGATACCGTGGTCGAAATGGAGAGATGCAATTTTCGGTTTATGAGTGGAATGGATTGGTTAATCAATTTGTGGATTAAGAAGAGAGGTGTATAATGTTTCGCGGGGAGACAGTAACAGTGGTCGGATTTGGGTTGGAATCAAAATGTCAATTTTCATTCAGCTGAATTTATCGAACCGGTCAAACGTTAGAACTGAGTAAATTATGGTTATGGTTTGTTGATATTTCGGTTTTGCTGGAGAATGGAAATGAAAAATGATTCTTGACATAACTAACATTTATCGAGGCTCCAAGGGTGGGGAAGTGGAACTGCTATGAAATCATTGAGCTGAGCTAGGCTGGTCAGTAAATCGGAACAAGTTCTGACATTGCAGTTTATTTTGAAATTCCAACCTTGGGGAATTCTATATTTCGGATAAAGTAAACGTTTAATATCGTGATTTTAACGATTTCGAGATTCTAATCACCTCAGTTCTAGAATTTTCTAAAATTTTCGCCGCTTCGAAAATGAAATATTGTGAAATAGGGACGCTACAGATACTGGGTAATTAGGCCGAATTTTGAAAAATTATAATTTTACACACAAAAAATTTGCTAATCTCAGCCACAATATTAAATGTTAAAATTCTAGCTATGAACTCTTGAACGATTAAGAATACAAATATATTGGAAATGTATAAAGTTATCGATATTATTCGGTTAAAAAGTTCATATCTACCTGGTCTCATGCATGTCGCCTCTATCAAATCATATTCTTATCGAAGCACATCTTTTAGATATAATGGGGTACTCCTGTACGCATTGTCCTGCCATTTACCAGATATCTGATGATTGGACAAAAAAAAAATTGAATTAATTTAAGTACAAATGTATTGGTTAGAGTGGTTCAAAATATCGATTTATCTCCACCAATCTCAAGTCCTGATCCTTTTTCCCAAAATTTGGATTTATTTGGATGCGAACTCATACTACACTGGCCCTTTGAATTTATATGGGAATTACTATGAGAAAAGTGAACATTTTGTTCTGAACGCCTTAGCACTTCGTCATAATAATTTTCGGTTGAGTTTTCCTTCTGATCTTATGTTAAATTTCATCAGCTACAACTTTGCTCCAGACCACTTCTTGATGAGACTTCAAGGTAATTAGTTATTAATTGATTTAAATGTCGATATCATTCTGATATAATTAATCGACTGCTTTCAGGGCAACACTGCATCTTGAATTTATGGCATAGTAGCCTGGATTTTTTGCCCTATTCTTAGCGCCAATCAGGCCAATGTTGCCTGCTAAGCAGTTGATGGAGCATGTCAGAAGAACATCATCTTCCTAATTATTTAATAACTAACTATCCTAACGTTCAATTAAAATGCGGTCCTCAGCAAAGTTGCAGCTGAGAAATTTTACATTAGTACAGATAGAAAACTTTTCCGTTGATCATTACAACGAGGGGCTAGAACGATGAGAACAAAAAGCTCACTTTAGCCATAGTAATTCCAATATAACTTTGTTTTGAAATCGATTAAGCTGGCGCAAAATCGCCAAAGTTTGAGCTTTTTTCATCTGAAAAATCTTTCAAGGTGGAGGGACACACTGCATTCCGAAAATCTAAATTTTGTTTTTGATGCCAAATGACTTAAACATGCGTGAAACGTCGAGGTCTAGTGTTGACTCGATTTTTCCCCGAAAATCGACTTTCTGTGATTTGGTAAATTTTCGGAAATCGATTTTTTTTTTTCATGTGGGAGATTTTTTTAGATGAAAAAAGTACACACTTTTTCGATTTTGTGCCACCCAAAATCATGTCCGGTTGAGTGCAAATTTTGCATAGGGTCTTTTTTCGAGGCAATGATGTTTTCTGTATGGTCGGTTTGTAAAATTCGATGGTCACTTTTTTCCCATATACACACCAAAATTTAGATTCAAGTTCCAGCAAACTGAATTGCTGAACTGGTTCCAGCAAAGTCACATTTCGCCGACCATCCAGCATTCTGAAATGTTTTGCTGGACACTCGGTAAATTGTATTCGATCTGTCAAATGAAATGCCAGTTCTAGAAAATTCCATTTCACTCGTCGTATGGTTGATTACCAACTAAAATATTCGCAACAAATTTGCTCCATTCTAGCAAAATTTGCTCTTGGAAATGATGTTTAGAGTACCACCAACAAGTAAGTGCAACATTTTTCAAGTTTTTTTTTGTTAAAATCCATGCTGAATTCAAGAAAAAATATCGTTTTTTTTCCCTTATGTTTGCAGCTCTAATCAAAACCGCAAGATGACAGGATCAGAGACACATTTGTCTGCTTTGCTATAGAAATTAATCAAAAAATGGGTGTACCATGTACTAGCATGATACCATATATGATTAGCTTTGAATAAATAAAGATATTTGAAATGATTTTGTGACATCCAATGAATTCCAAACCCTTCCATTTCCAAATTTCCATTCCCTTCCGCTGTAAATTAATTGCTGCTTCTTTTTACTGAAGTATCAGCAAAATTTTGCTGGGTTTTCAGCGATGTGCTGTCACTTAATTGACAGATCATTTTACTGGTCACCCAGCACAGCGTTGCCAGATTGTTTTAAAGTTTATCGGTATCGAAGGTTTTAAAAAATTGGTATTTATCGGTATTTACTATATTAATTTATTTTATATTATAGCTGTTTTTGAAAGCGAATTGAGAAACTTCTAGTGAATATTCAAAGAAACCATCGGAAAAAAAAATCGGGTTGCACATCCAAAGGAAGCCAGAAAAGTTTCGGATAATGGAAGTTAATTCCAGAAGTAGCCAGTTCTAGGGTAAGCCAGAAGAAGTTCGGAAAACCCTTCCAATAAAAGTCGAAAACCTATGGCTTATGGACACACTTCCAGAACAAGATGGAAGAAACTTCCTGAAGACGCTGGCAGACACTTTCTAAGGTAGATTGCAAGAAACTTCTGAAGAGGCCTATGGAACAGTCGAAAGAAACAAGGACATAATTCCGGAAGAAAGAGATTTCTGGGGGATGTTCTAATGATCCAGCAAATTTTCCTGATATTCATAAAACATCCCTGAAGACCCCGCAATGCCCCTGAAGTTTTCGGAACATTCCTGAAATGCACTTAGGAATATTCCATAATTCCTCGGAATTCCTTAAAAATTTCTTGTAATTTTCTTGAAGTGAATGGGGCTGTTTTTAGAGTCCTCTGATCATCCTCTAAGTTAACGGAACTTCCATTATTATAATGAAGCTACCTGAATATCTATAATCATCTTTGAAGGTATCTGGATTTTCTTGAAGATTATGAAATTTCTTAAGAGCTCTCAAATGTTTCTTGAATTTATTATATCATTTGCATTGAAGATCTCTGATCTTCCCGATTTTTAAAATTTTAATTCTTGGCACTGCCATTAAAAAGCATGGAATTTCCCATAAAATGTTCTCGCAAGGTTCTTATGTTCAAGTAACTTCCCTTAAGTTTCCCAAATTTGTGGAACATTGCTTGAGTTTCTCGGAAATCCTTTAAAATATCAGCATTTCCTTGAAGTTAATTGATCTGTCCTGATGTTCACGGAGCTTCCCTAAAGTTCGCTCAGTTCTCTGAAACATATGAAACTTTCTTGAAAATCATTAAATTTCCCTGAAGTTCTTTGAACTTTCCTAAATATTTCTGATGTTTTCGTAAGTTCAATGGAGTTCGCTGGACTTTCCTGAAATTTTCGGGTTTTGGAATTAGAACAGAAGTTAATAAAACTATCTTTAATTTCAAAAGCCTAGACTTTTCTGAAGTCTCAGAACTTCTTAAAAGTTCCTGCAGCTAGTGTGAATCCGGAATAAAAATCTGGAAACATCCCACAAGTTCAGGGAACTTGAAAACAAACAAAAAACTGGTGGGAGAAGACGAAAGAACCATTCGAGCCATGGCTGAACAAGCTTCCAAGGGAAGTTGAAATAAGTTTCCGGGAGGAATCGAAAAATAAGTTATGGTGTAAGATGGAAGAAAATTCCAGGCGAAAGTTGGAAGAAAATTCAAGAAGTAAAATATTAACAAAAACTTTAGGAAGTTAAATAATGTTTAAAAAGTATTCCGCGATTCTCTAGAAATAACCGGAAAGAGCCATCGACAGTTTCTCGATTTATGGGTAGCCAAAAACGGTGAAGAAATGGAAACATTAGTCAAAAGAGTGTCAAGCATATAACATTTCCAAAGATTATTTTGAAGCTCAAATTTTTTGAGTTATTCAAAAAGGTACAAGTCTATCACAGTTATTTACTCCGAAATTCGAGCGCGGGTAGGCAATACTAATTTTGATCATTTAAAAATCGGTATAAATCGGTATACAATTTCAAAAATCGGTATTCTGAGGAATCTTATCTGTGTATCGGTATCTAGTTCGGAAATCGGTATAAATACCGATAAATCGGTATATCTGGCAACGCTGACCCAGCAATAACATTTTGCTGGAAGGATTACTGAACTTCCAGTTCGGCAAAATCCAGCAAAATGTTGCTGGTTTACGGCAATAAAAATTGGGTGATGATGATTATAAGATGTTCGAAAATCCCTCTGTTGTTGATCGGCCGATTTTTGAGAAAGCGTCTGAAAGTTGATTCCTT